TGTATTGCAAAAAATGGCCTGGTCAGGAAGGGGGGTAAATCCAAGCGGTTAAAGCAAAAGGTGGTTCAACAAAATACTGACACAAGGGGGTGATCCTTTTTCCAACTCGGTGATTCTGTTTTTGAATTTGTTTACATTCTTTTTCTGACATGTTAGTGTTATATCTTTCACTTGGATGTCATAAGTTATAAATACAGCGGGATAAAACAAAAACTATGAGTCTTCATTTCAGGCTGTAAAGCAACAAAATGTGATTTAAGGGGGGGGGGGGGATTTGTTTCTGTACCCACTGTATTCGAGAAGCGGCAGTGACTCATGAAGCTTTTCACTGAATACCACTGAAATTCATAGTTTTCTTTAATCGAGTGACTGTTCACAGGTAAACAATGATGGGCAATGGAAGATTTGTATCCTGTTAGATGCAGCACTCATTCTTTTGTCTCCTTGAATTTCAGGGACCTAGTTACTGAAACACAGGGCTATAGGACAAAATGGTTGAAAAAGAGTTTCACAGACCTTCACCAACATCTTCCAAGGCTGCAAGTTAGGTGAACAAATATATTACATTGTTAGATGGCACAGTAGTGTCATGTCACAAAGTGGGGCAGAATCTGCAGCTGTTCATGTTTTAAAAGCCTTGATTGTGAACATAGTTTGACATTATACTGCATATGTTTGTGGGGAATCCTACTTTTTACACACAGTATGCATTCTTTGCTTTCAGTTTTGTAGTTCTGCACAATGGTTGTGCCCAACTGACCCTTTCACCTTAGTATTATTCTTAGATTAAAAAACCAAAGTGACTTATCGCGTAAAAGGTAGTTTGCACTGTCTAACAAAGGTAGCCAAAGAAGGCAGGAACCTGCATAGTTGTGTATTAAGTACTATCAAGAAAATATACTTCACCAAGCAATACAATAGTAGCTCAAAATATGTAGTAAACATATTTCTTGGAAAATCTAGCTTTCCCATAAGTTGTGTTTCTGCTAAAAAAAAAAACACCATCTTTAAATTAGAAAGGTTGCAACACTCTTGCCATCTTTAAAGGTCCTCGGTCAGGGACAATAGCTGAAACTGAATGACTTGACTATCAGATGAGATACTATAAATATTTTTACATTTAAACTGTACATATACTTCATTTATAAAGAACTGTTTTGATGCTGGAGGTCAGGTTTGACTTTTTCAATTGGTTTTATTTCTCTGAAATTATTTGTACTGTAATAAATAGGTTTTTTTTTCCCCCAACTACATATGCCACCATATACCACTATGTAGAACACTATATTAAATGTAGCAACTTTTTTTTTTTTATCAAATACAATACTAACATTCCTGTATTTAATTGACTAAATATCATTTACCACATTTTATTGCTTACCTGCAAATGTTAGAAGAGGAGTAAAGATGAAAATAAAGCAGAACAACAGGGTTTCCCTCTGCCCTAGCCCCATGATGGGGAAGGTTTTCCTCTCCTGGAGCTCTGTTTTCAGGAGAACATTGCTAGTACAAAGTCCATTGTTCAAAATTAGGAAATAGATGGAGGAGGAGGGGATAGAATAACAAGGACAGCTGTTGGTATGTTCTGCCCTGCAGGTCCTGACTTGCTACACTGCTTTGATCTTTCCAATTGCACCACATTGGTTTGTGGTGGACTATCCTATCTCTAGTTTTTGTGCCTGTATTCTCCTTGGAATCTAGTGGATTTTGTGTAGATAGATAGAATACAACCATTGCACAGAAATTTCCACTTTATATTTGTCCAAGCATTTCTGTATTTTGTCAGCTGGATATACTATGTCAAGAGGGCCCATTTACACAGCATTTTTGACAAGAAAAAATCTATACAGTTATAGTTACTTTTTAAAAATAATTTTGTCCCTTTTCACAGTTCCTGAGTTTGTGGTTTCTATTTGGCACCATCCAGTTTTTTTCAGATTATACTTTCCAGTTCGATGCCATATGGGTCTGTGTTAGCAGTGTCCAAACTGCAGCTCACAGGCCGAAACACAGCCCTTTGTTTGACCCTATCCAGAATTTGGGGCACCATTCCTCCCAATGACACCAACGACGGGGCATTATTTCTCCCAATGACACCAACAATGGGGCACAATTTCTCCCAGTGACACCAACCATAAGGCACTATTCCTCCAATACCAATGATGGGACACTATTCTCACTCCTGCTCACTAGAGGTGCTATGTCTTTTTTTTTTTTTTTTTTTACTCTCATTGATCACATAGTCAGAGGCATTGTCTATTACCAGGGGCCCACAGTCCACCTCCTAATATCTGAAGTACAATAAACTGTCCCTTTGTTTAGAAGGTTTGGACCAGGGGCGGACTGACCATTTGGAAACTCGGGCACTGCCCGAGGGCCCAGGGTCAGTAGGGGGGCCCATGAGATGCCCCTGGTACCTTTATCATAAGCTTTTTTGAGTTTAGGCAAGGACACAGGGGCCCCATGATCCCTTATTGCCCGGGGGCCCCATGAGTTGTCAGTCCGCCCCTGGTTTGGACTCCCCTGGTCTATTTAAACAGACAAAATGATTGCTGGAATCACCATGTATGTAAGCCATATTTGCCAGTAGCATACTGGAATGCAGGTCACATAACCTCTAGGAAGCAGTGCATCTAAGTAGTAAGCCTACAAATATGTAACAGAAATTATCAAATGTATTGGTAGAGTAGACCTGAGCAAACAGTGGCCCCAGGGCCACATCTGGCCTTTAGGCTGTCACTCTCTGGCCCTTGATGCTCCCACTGTCAGCATGCTTCTCTGAGCCTGTCAACTTCCTCTTCCCCAATATCCATGTGGAGAGGAACTGATCAGTACAGCAGGGAGGCTGAGTTCTGGTGGGAGAACGATTCCTAAGAGACGTCGCGACTTCCTTCTGCCACCTGGCTAAGTTCTTCCTACGTAAGCACCTGCCCACTGCAAACTCCAGGAGACGTGCACCTGTTCTTCACTCCAGATCAGAATCTGCAGAAATACCCACTTTACTGATCTCAGGCTCTCTCCTTCTAGTCACAGGACTGTTCAGAGAGCATTGGACAAGCAGTGAGGAGGCATTACATTGCCTTGATTTCATCCTACACTACTGTGCTACATTTAAATGCATCGAATGTGGCAATGCCCCATTGAACTCAGTAGGCTTGTCAAACTCCACTCCAATGCTGTGGCCGCAGCATGTGAACAGTCCCATCCAGCTGTTATTTTATAGTTCAGGTAGGTGTCCAAGGGGGGGGTAAAACCACATCTTAGTTGCCTGTCTTTACTACATTCTCGAGCACCTGTCTGAAAGGGACTTATTTCATCTATTTTGTACCTATTATGCCTAGCACCAGATATATGTTCTCTATATGTGTACACACTTACAACCCTTCCCGGGTCCAAGATTAATATTGAGCAGAAGTTCGGACCTTCACACCAGTCCCAGTTTCTCATGTGTCCCCTTGGAAAAATGAATTGTTTACCTTGGTGCTAGAGGAAGCCATTTCCACAGAGCCCAATGTAATAAAAATGAAATGGGACAGTAGATAGCCAGAGGTGAACAATACAAAGAAAAAGGAGGCTTCTACTCTGTTGCAGGTTCATGCATTCAGCTAAGAAGGCTCAATGCTGGCCCACCTCATTTAACAGACGCAGCCATTTCATACCTACCCATACAACTGGAGGAGAATAGAGGCAGTTCTTATTTCACCTCAAAAAGATTATATAAACCAAGAATGTGTAGTGCGCTAACTCCTCATCCAGACATATAAATTAAAGAATCCTCCAGTAATCCCATGCAAGATAAATCCACACTCCAATGAAAGTCCAACTCCCTAATCACAGAATGTCCAAATTAGTGCATTTAATAATCACTTTCCAGAAGACGTACTTGTGCTCAAGATACTCTCCCTGCTCACCTTTAAGTCTGACCTACAAATTATCATGTGGTGATGATTCCAAAAACATAGGTCATAAGCATGTTTGGTTTTTGTATACATATGACATATGGGTCAAGGAAGAAGGTGAGTGCGTGGCACACTCATTGGTGAAGGGAACACTTTACAACACGGTGTGTTTTGCTCTAATGTGAGCGTATAGGTTTTGTGCACTCAACCATTAGTTTTAATGTACCGTATTTTTCGCTGTATAAGACGCACCTGACCATAAGACGCACCTAGGTTTTAGAAGCAGAAAACAGGAAAAAAAAATTCTGAACTAATGGACTGCAGACACAGTACAGGAGATGACCAGAGACTGCGGACAGCACAGGGATGACCAGAGACTGCGGACAGCACAGGGATGACCAGAGACTGTGGACAGTACAGAGGACTGCTGACCTTTGGGGAGGTGGGGAGCGGGTACCTGAATTTGACAGGTACCCGCTCTTACTTCCGCAGAGTTTTTGTTTGATCTTACCTGTTCCTCGATCCAGCCGCGCGCTGTCTTCCCGGCTTCTGTAATGGCGCTCAGCATGACAGCCGGGTGCCCAGTGCGCATGAGCGAGAAGCACTTGCGCTTTGTGATTGGTCCGGTGGCTTCTGGGATCTATCATGTGTACCAGGTACCGCCTTACCATTCACAAAAAGCACCGCTTCTTGCACATGCGCACTTGGCACCCGGCTGTCATGCCCAGTGCCCACACTACAGAAGATGGGAAGACAGCACGCCACTGGATAGAGGAACAGGTAAGGTCCCGCTGCAGAGCTGAGCGGCCGGCCCAGTATTCTGACACGGCTGCGATGGAAATACCGGACCAGCCGCTCCATATTCGCCCCATAAGACGCACTGACATTTCCCCCCCAGTTTTGGGGAAGAAAAAGTGTGTCTTATACGGCGAAAAATACGGTAAATGGTGTTGCACTACAATATAGATATATATATGTATCTTGAGCAGAAGCACGTCTTCTGGAAAGTGATTATAAAATGCTCTGATTTGGACATTCTGTGATTTGGGAGTTGGACTTTTATTGGAGTGTGGATTTATTTTGCATGGGATTACTGGAGGATTTTTTTAAATTTCATTTATGTCTGGCTGAGGAGTTAGCGCACTACACATTGGTTTATATAAATTTTAAGTGGGATTACACTTAGCCCCGGTTCACATATATGCGGCCGTGTGGGCCGCGTTTTGCATGGGCACGAGAGCCCATTCATTTGAATGGACTCCCTTGCCCGTGACACGCAGGGAAGAAGTCCCTGCACTTCTTTGGAAAATGCAGCCCACATGGGAACCTCGGTTCCCAGTACGGTTGCGTTTTCCAGTGCAGGCAGCATGCAATTAGAACTAATGGTACCTGCCCGTGGGTCTGCATTTCTCTGTGCAGGTCGTGCGGCTGCACGGAGTTCCGTGCGGATCCACAGCAGCACCACCTGCACAGATGTGAACCTAGCCTTAGTGAGTGGATGCAGCAATCTTCCTTTGTTTATTTTTATTCAGGGTGTAGCAGCGCACGAGTGTGAGTCTTTTCACATTTTGACCATCTCAAAATGATTACTATTAGATAGGAAACTCTAGCAAAAACATGTGTTTCTAATTTTGTGTGAGATGGGGGAAGTGAAAGACCCAATGGTCATTTACTGCTCTCTGTATTCTGGTTGGCAATATTGCATGAAGCATAATGGCATATGTGGTCTAGCTTCTAGGGCAGTTGGGTTAGAGGGGTATCAGCAAACCTCAAAAGTCACAAAAAAAAAAATGTTCCCCATCTTTTCTCCATCATCTCTGCTCTTTTGTAGTGAAATCCAGCAACAGAACTGTAAGGGGTGCAGCGGGTGATGAAAGAAGTCAAAAGACCCATGCACACCGGGTGTATAGTCTGAGGTCATGGGACTTTGGTGTTTAGCTGTGGCCGGAGGGCACAGGAGCACCATCCAGCCCGACTGCTGTCAGCCCAGGGGCGGACTGACCAATTGGGAACTCTGGCACTGCCCAAGGGCCCGGGGTCAGTAGGGGGCCCCATGAGATGCCCCTGGTACCTTTAATAGGCTTTTTTGGGTGTGGTTTGAGTGTGGGCAAGAACACAGGCCCCATTATCCCTTATTGGGTGGGGGCCCCATGAGTTGCTAGTCCACCCCTGTGTCAGCCTATCAGACTCTATAGAGTTGATTTACTAAAGGCAACTTGGCTGCTCATTTTGCAAAGCAAGTTGCACCTTGCAAGGGCATTTGCCCTGGAGCTTAGTGAATGTGGTGGGTTTACTTTGCAAAGAAAACGCAATCACGTGCAAGGAAAATGAAAAAATAGCATTTTTGTATGCACATGATTTGATGATCATAGTCCAGCAGTATTTTACTTTCTAAGGTAGTAGCGTCCATGCACACAGTACCTGCAGATTTAAAGGGTATAACCCCTAATGAAAGCAGATGGTGCCACCAGAGTGGATCCCAAAATTGGGTAAATTAACCATACTGCTTCCTGAAATCTAGACTAATTCAAATGTTTATACTGCTTAGATTTTAATTATCAGCAATTTTTAATAAATACATTTTATATCGGTTTCAGGTTTCAATTTTAACCATTTGCCCTCCAAGGGATTTACCCACCTTCCTGGCCAGGCCATTTTTTTGCATTACGACCCTGCGCTACTTTGACAATTGCACAGTCATGCAATGCTGCACCCAAATTAAATTTATGTCCTTATTTTCCCCCAAAAAATTGAGCTTCGGTGGTATTTGATCACCTGTGCGGTTTTTATTTTTTGCACAGTAAAAAAAAAAAAACAAAATCAAATGCCATCAGAAATTTAGGGTAAAATGTATTTGCTAAAAAAAAAAATAAAAAAATCCCAATACGTATAAATTAATTGGTTTACATAAAAGTTATAGCATCTACAAATGGCGGTTTAGATACTAGAATTTTTTTTATTTTATTTATTTTTACTAGTAATGGTGATCAGCGACTGATAGCGGGTCTGTGGGACTGCCATGGGCATTCTGACACTGGGGGGAACTGTCTTGGTGTCACTGACATCTCTAGGGACACCAATACAGTGATCAGTGCTAAAAAAAAATAAAATAAAAAAGCACTGATACTGTACTAATGGCACTGAGCTGGAAAAGGTTAACATGAGGGGTAATCAAAGGGTTAACTGTGCGCTGTTTCATAGTAAGCGCTGTGTGTGTGGTTCGCTGTAATCTCACTGGTTTGGATGGATGTGCCATTTACATACACAGTTCTCCTCCCTATCGGAGATCCTTGGCAATCACTGGGCACCAGCGAGTAATCGCCAGCCGGGATCTGGTGGGACAGCCATGCCAGTGAATGGCGGCACGGGTAGGGCACATGCTCCCTACCCAGAAATGCAAAGTCATGTATATATACACATGTGATTTTGCACACCCGTGCTGCCCTGTAGCACTAGTGTAGCCAGAAGTTAGAAAAATATTAAGGCTATGGCTGAAAATACTAGGCGGTAGCTGTCACTGACAAAGTCACTGGAGTCAGAGAGAACTTAGAACTCCTGATCTATGTGGTGTACAATTATTGAAACAGCTGGATCAGAATGACACCCAAGCAAGCAGCATATTTGGACAGCTATTGCAGCCTGTATATTCCTCTTAGGTTTTCTCTATGCTGGCTATATCACACATTGTCAATCATGCATCTAGAGCAGCAGAAGGAATATTATAGCTAAGCACACGCATAGGATAGATTAGACATTTTAAAAATGTACAGTACCTAGTAGTATTAACAGTCCCATCCAACAGTTCTGGATGTAAGATTGCAAGATACAGAAACTAATTATTCCCTTTGTTTCATAATTCTTGCAATCTGCTCATCTAAATTCATTTTGCTTGAAACATCATGTGTATACAGAAAAATGGTAATTGCTTTTACCATCCTCTGTGACTGCAATTAAAGTACAAGGCTGTGATTTTCCCCATCTTAAGACATACTATGGAGGAAGGGTTGGAGGTCACATCCTGTCTCTATGACAATCCATTTAAGAAAGGGAGAGAAAATCTTCAAGGACACAGACAGTAATAAAAAGCTAAAAGGGATTCTAGCTTTCCCCTATTCCCTTCACTGGAAACTTTGCCTCCGAAACAGGAAGTGAAGGGGAATTTCCCCAATTAAGCTTCCCTATTCTATTGGCTGAAGACTCGATTTACAGTAGAATTCCAAGTTTCACGTCACTTTAAAGATTAACTCCACTTTTGCTGAGAAAAAAAAAACTATTCCCCTCTGTTAAAATCCTTGCAATGTGCATTGCTCACCCAAACTTTGTTGTAGAGTCCTACCTTTTGTTATTCTAAAGAAATGGCTGTTTGTCTGTGTCCATGTGCACAGTGAATCTCTATGGGAGCAATTTCATAACTATCGATCAGCTGCTGCACCTGCAGGGCTTTAGATTAGTTTTTTTTTTTGGAAATATCTCAAAGGATATTTTTGTTGCAGGGGATGCCAAAAATCTGATTTGTATCTTTGTGCAGACTTCTGGGAGAAACTGTGAGCCAATCACTCAAACAGGAAATAGCCTTTCTGGGGGGTGTTCTGTACACCATCTGTGCACAGAACACCTCCAGGTAGCCATATTGAACTACATTTTACAGAAAATGAGAGTGCTGCAGAGCGAAAGGGAAAGTAATTTTTAATAACATTCAATTACCATATGACTTGTGTTTCAATTGTGTATACTTTTTTTTAATTTTCTATTTTTTTTCCCACAAAAGTGGAGTTACTTTTTAAATAGTTTGTTAGGACCAAGCTTCCATTCCAGAACAATGTGGTCGCTGTGTGTGGTATAATGTACTGTAGCAGCATTCGCTACATGCAGTAAGTGGGGTGGTGGTGTGCCAGCAGCAATATGGGCCAATTTACCATCTTCTGCCAGAATTAAAAATAGTTGGCCTGTGTGCTTTTCCACCATTCAGGAGAAGCCTTGTATTTTTATAAAATACAAAGGTTATTCTGATTGGCCAAAGTGGAAATCTTGACACCATCTGTCCACCTCTTCACCCTAACCAATCACAGGAAGACATGTTTCAGTGCTAACAATACAAGGCTTCTCCCGAATGACACGAAACACTTAGGCTGACTCTTTTATTCCAGTAACAGACTGAAAATCGGCCGTACTGCTACTGGAACACAGCACCACTTAGTGTAGCTAAGGCCGGCCATACATGGGTCGATTTCCAAACTATTTTTCATTTGAAAAACGGACCTAAGAATAATCGGCTGATTGTTAGTCAGGCAATGGCACTGACCGACTTTCAGGGTTCCTCCCCATTTCGTTTATCGGGCATGCTGGAAAATGTGTGAGAAATGACTAATTTTCGAAATCGTTGGTGGCACCATCGGATTTACAGAATGAACAATGTTTTCGATTTGTGATCAAAAAAATTGTTCGGAATTCGACCCATGTATGGCCTGAATAACACTACTACAGTACATTATAGCACACACAGCAGCTGCATCGTTTAGTAATGGAAATGGTTTGTTTGAGCCAGCTTGGCTCAAACTATTTCAAGTGACACGAAATCTGGAATTTGACTTTAAAGCAACTCAGTCATTAGGTATCAAAATTGAAAATGGTCATACTATTCAAAATAGTCAATAGAAAAAAAGCAAGTGAACACTAACCTTTCCGTTGCCACCAGAAAGCCACTATATTCCCGAGAAATCCTTGACTAAAGTCTAAAATGAAATGAACAATTTTGAGTGTGCCGGTCTTCATAGATCCCCTGCCATGTTTATTGGTTTGCTATTTATGACCTGGAAGTCAGTGAATAATGAGGGGGACACAAGGATCATCAGCAGTCCTGGAAGTGTTGGTTTCCCTATGGACTTCAGCCAGAGATAGCTTGCAAATGGAGCAGTGGTTCTGGGGTCACCGGAATAGCAGGTGTTTAATTTTCAATTTTGCTACTTAATGTCTTGCCACCCACATAACGCATATGTGCAGAGGCAAAAAGGGTCGGCTGTAATGACCACTTGCCACACATCTATGGGCAGCAGGGGCGGACTGGCCATTTGGAAACTCGGGCACTGCCGAGGGCCTGGGGTCAGTAGGGGGCCCCATGAGATGCCCCTGGTACCTTTTTCATAGGCTTTTTTGAGTTTGAGCAAGGACACAGGGGCCCCATGATCCCCTATTGCCCGGGGTCCCCATGAGCTGTCAGTCCACCCTGAAGGGCAGCATAGATTTCTGTGCTGAAAGCGCGTTCACTGTGTGCTCCCAGCACAGAGACTGAGCTGTCAAAGACAGCTGTTGGTCTGTACCAATGATTGGAAACAGACAGGAACCCCCCTTCTAATCTTATGACCACTGTAACAGCCAATCATAGTGATCACATGATTAGGAAGTCCTTCCTGCCCCCTGGGCATAATGGCCTGGTAAAAGGGATGCTGGGGCAGATGGGATGGGTTAAAGTATAAAGAC